AGTATGTGTTTTCTGAAATTGTAATTCATTTATCATGTCTAATACTAAATTATCACACAAAACCACTTAGATTTATAAGCAACACATCCTCTAAAAAGAAAGCAGACATATGACTTTACAACAACTTTATATAGGAATCATTAAGATTATTATGAAATGTGATTGAAGGCAATATTCTGTGCTATACTTATATCCATGGACTAAATCCTTGATATTAGCCACATCCATTGTGGTTTCAAAGTTGGTTTTATTTCAATAAAGGCTCATTTATGTATTTTTTAATTTTTATTCAAACCCTTGCTGCTTTGTTTATATTTGGAATTGCAATCAAGCATGAGTACATATTGCTTTATTAGCACTTAATTTCAAAACTGTTTTCATTAATAATGCCCAATTTAAAATGAGAGATTAGATAAGAACACAGCCCTTTAGGTTTCGATTTTATTTCTTAATCATAAATTGGGCACAAGACAATTTAAATCGGAAATTTCTTCTGTATCATTTTATTATATACATGTACAAGAACTAAACTATTAATATTTAAAATAGCAACGAAAACAGACCTGCTAAAGCTTTCCATTCCTATTTCTAGATTTTGTAGAACCAATAATCTCTTTAGTTATATTAATATTTAAATATCAATATTTTAAAAATGATTGATAACTGTGTTTCCATCATCTTTCACCGCCTACCTAATGAACAGCACTTAATCAAATAGATAAATAAATAATTTCTCTCTCTGGCTAATACATAATAAGACCCATGACTTTTCCTTTCCATTATTAGTGTCTATCCAAAAACTAAAATCATGTTCAAGTACACATTGTATGATGATGTTAAGGGATATATGTACTGTAACATGGTGTGTGTATCATGCCGCTAGCATAACCTAGACATTACGTCTATAGCTAAGATCCAATTTGAGAATAATTAAGAGATGCAAGGACGTCATGCCATGCGTGAATCAGTGGGAGCCAGGGGCATTAGCTCAGGTACAGGCAGGCTACCTCTTACTGGTGACTAATGAATAATTTCTCTCTTCCGTATGATGCGCAGGGGCGGGCGAGAGCTAGTGCCTACCGTTTACAGCCTTTCATCGGCTAAATGAGATTAATGCAAGTTATTGGTTTGGGAAGTGCAGGTATAAATTCAGAAATAGCACCTGGATTAGAGGATGAAAGCATGCTGGAGTTGACATTCAACTCATGCTAATATAAAGGTCGCATTGAAAGTAGTCTTAAAGTCACAGTAGATGTTAACAATACATCATATCAATGACAAAATAATGAATACAATAATATTAATTACATGTAGCACATTTTAATGCATTTTTTCTCTGACCTTGAATTTCAATTTATAAAACAAAAGAAAGAAAAAAAACTAATCGGGTCATTTAATTTCAATATCACGAACAATTTCCATCAGACACTGCACATATAACATTTGATGAATTCAACAAATAGATGTTTACTAACAATATAAAATAACCCAGACATTTATGTTTATGAGCAGTAGCTGAAGACAAAAAACCCTATTCAATATGGAACATGACTCATTGTCGGTGCATTGATTGATCCATTATGTGCTATCAGGTGATGAAGTATTACGATCAAGGTGACTCATACCCATGTTATACATGGACACTGCACATTGTGGTATTGTACATAATGATGATGAATATTTTAAGCATGGGTTTTCCCAATGTATATAATACAGGGAACCTAATGCCCATGTTCAGTAATAGCAAGGATGCATCAAAACTGAAGAAGGATGCATCTATTGGGCGTGGTTAACTTTTAAAAAGCCTGTTTACTTCAATATAGATTTTACAGGATTTATACAAAAACTAGGGGAAACAAAAGGAAAATAACATAATGTCCAAGGCTAATGTCCACTGATTTAAAATAGATTTATCATTCTGTGTTTCCAATTTCATGAAGTGCGCAACGCTGAGAAAATAATGTGATCACAAGAGAAAATATTAATCCCTTGCTGTCCAAACAGTGTCTGAAAACATTTTTGCAAAAATGGCGATAAAATACCACCATACATAGAGGGATATGGCTCTGCAGTTTCTGTGACACTTCACATTTTCAATTTAAGCAGCCGGCATCACCATAATAATCTCCCAATTTCCTTGGCAATGTCATGCATAATTCACCTCATAGCAGATAGATCTGGAGTAATCCATTACCCCGTTTGGATTTGCATATTTTCAAAAGCAATTGGTATTGGAAGAATATCTGCCATTTCCCAAAGTAATCTCATGAATTAATCATTATAATGCACATATCTAGAGTAATCTGATGCCTTAATCAGATAATATACATAATGATACTCAAAGGAATGCAATTTGATATCTCCTATGCTTCACATGCTGGATTCTGTAAGTCAGATTTGTTTATGAAATGCTAATAAACTAGCTACATGTAGATCTTACAAAGAGAGAGGGGGCTTAAATATTCATGTTGCATGTTCAGCTAAATGCCAGTTTCCATTAATTCGTAATTGGTGGAATTTGATTATGACCCTGGATTTCTTCCTTGCTACTGTACTTCAATCAATGTACTTATATCCTATACTTAAATGTTATATTATCGATTCTCTTAAATACAATGTAAGTTAGATGAAAAAAGCTCTTTTGCATATTCACTGCAACATAATGACATAAACTGAATCCACCAATTACAATAAAAGCTTCAGAAATCCACATCTCTGTTACAATTTAGAACAGTTTTAAAAATGAATACAAAATCCTTGCATCGTTAAATCAATAATTAATTAATATTGTTAGGAATTTTCCTATTTTGTCTTACATCAATGAGGACAGAAATAAGAAGTTTAAACTTTTCTTAATGTTGATAGTACATGAATTTATATGTACTTTATGTATATGATTCAAGTGATTAGAAGCTTACATGTACATGTATATATATCTCACACATGTAACTACATAATACAAAATCTCATTTGATCTGTTTCATCTAGGCTAGGACATCAGAGAAGAGAGATCAAGTGTTGAAGTTGGGCTTGATGAATTATGATGAGAAATAAATTGAGCAGATAGAAACAAAGAATCTACCCATGGTTCATTTTCTCCTGGAGCTCTAAATTTGAAGATACATAGCATTTTTTCCCAAAGATAACTTATTCATCTTCCAACATCAGTTCTACATGAGTTGCTTCTTTGATAATGTGCTTGCAAAACACTTTAGAATCACAAGGAAATATTGTTTTTTTCAAGAAAGGAAAAATCAATCAGACACAGAGGCCCCGTTTTATTAATGATATACGTTTCATGCATGAAAGGAATATTAATTGGACAAAGGGACATTGTTTCATTTAGATATATACATTCAACAAGACAGGACTATTCTTAGGACACAGAGACAATGTCTTATTCATGATATGCATGACAAGAAAGAAATACTATTAGGACAGAATGTAGATTGTCCTTCAGTATAGCTCCACTAGTTTTTTATCCTTTAGATAGATTCCAATGTAAATTTGTTTTACTGCAAGACAGCTGGTGGGGTAGTGGGCTAACCTACTTCTGTCATGATGGCCTGCAGTGAAGTCCTACTTCATCTAACAATACACACATATAAAGGCTTGTTCATATATAATGGGTTAATCCACAGCAGTTGTTCTTCTTTAAATCTTTTATTTGGCAACTGGGGTGAGAGTAAATATGAGAGTAAATATCTGCACATATCAAAGCCCCCTAAGTGTACTCATTTATCTGTGTGTTACAAGATACAGAGATGTGAAGCACACTATACATATTTTGAGTGGTGGTTTCCCGGGCATATGTGAACGAGGCTCAAGGGTCAGATGAGGATCATTGGTTTTGTCACCATCTAATGATAAAATATAGCTCAACCCAATAAACTACATTAGCATCATACCTACCCCACTCCCACCCCATTCCACTTACTTATTAGACAACTCCAGAAGAAATTTAGATAAGAATGACTATGCGTGAAGGTGCAAATCATTATTCATTATTGTTTTAGTACCGTATATGGTCTGTGAATAAGGCCTTTTACATCATATTTCTTATGCTCGGAGCTACAGGGGCGTTGATGTCCTTCCAGCTCTCAAAAGATCATTTCCTGAGAGCCAAAAAGGGCATTTAATCACAAAATTTACCTCAGAGTCAATGTCCTTCTGGCTTTCAGGAGATGATCTATTCAATATACATGTATGTCTGACTCCACTCACACTTAAGAAAGAAAGATTGCAGACATATCTTTTCAGGACTCCCCACTCCTCCCCCCTCCCCCCCCCCCCCCCCCCCTCTCTCTCTCTCAAATGATGCAACCGTAAGCCTACTGTATACTCACTGTCTAATAACATTAATGAATTGATTGGCTTCAAAACCTGATTATGCAAGCATACATTTGTCAAAATATACATGTAGTTATTTAAGCTTTATATTAATCAAATAATGTCATAGCAGTTATATTTTCTACTTGCATATTGACGAAGATAGCGACTTTATTAAGAGCTTTTGTACTAAATAAACATGTATAACTGGAGAAACATATTATCAAATTTGTGAAAGCGTCAAACATAGGTCGGCATTCAATGGGTATATTTGACAGGGAGCTTTGATTGAGCATTGTCAATCTTAAATCATTCACATCTTTCTTGATATTCGACATCTACACATAGATCTATTATAATTTTTTTCATAGCAACGTTTTAATTCGCCCAATGAAAGTTCTCAAGAGAATATGTCAAATGCAAAACTCTTACTGTTAAATTGATCTTTAAAGCAAGTGTAATCAGCGCCACTTCTAAGATACTCCTTTACATTCATTTTCAAGATGCTCCATGCTTTGAATACAATTTTCTTCTCTCACGTAATTTCGATTTGAAAGTTGTATCATTTCTTCTCTCTCTTCCCCCCCCCCCACCCCTCTCTCTCTATCTCTCTCTCTCTCTCTCTCTCTCTCTCTCTCTCTCTTTCTCTCTCTCTCCATCTCAATTTCTTTCTCTCTATCATAAATATAATGTACCGGTATGCATACATTCAAACTTTATTATTATCACCTTCATCATCGCCTCATCACCTCCACCATCATCACACTACATTTTTAGATAGACACAATATACTTCTTTCTATCCACTTCACAACAATCATGAACTGCCAGGCTTCATCTAAGAATAAAAGCACAGACCTGCCATTACCACACAAAAAAAAAGCAATTTTATTTTGGGTGCAGCTATACAGGTGCTAGCTAGAGGAGTTTTGATGGTATAATGATGAGTGTGAAGTGAACACAGGATGCATATTCTCTATCCTGTGTTCCAGTATGAACCGATGAAGTGACTCAACAGACCAGTTTACTAAAATGTTTCCTCCCAGAACCCCTGGTAGGAAATCTTCCATTCATGTTATGTAAAGGTATGATAGCATCTCTTTGACACTACTTGTTGCTATGTCAGGCAAATCACAGGTAGGTTTTGGGTCATATCAAGCAATACACCTGTTGCTAAATGCCAGCCAAAGCACAGATCAATTTGATGTCAGGCAAAATGCCACTTTCTTAATGAATAATGATTTGTATGCATTAGTAAGCTGGTCTGTTGACTGCATCATTCTTATCATTCCTATCTAGGGTCTTACCTGTAAGTTCTCTGAGTAGAAGAGACTCTTGAGGACTTGGCTGTCTCGTTTCTGCATGGCCTTTCCTTCCATCACCTTCTCCAGGAAGCCACAGATATTCTTGACTTGGGTAGTATCAGGCAACATCTCAAGAGCCTGTAATAAAAAATCATGTCATACTGGACTTTACTCTAATTACTTTAATTAGACAATAAATAGATAGAAGTATATTAATTGGAAGTGAATAAGAATATTTGAAAACCTGTGCATATAACATTAAAATTTGGTTGAAATGCTCAATTCTTACTGTACAATCTTGTGATGTTTTAGCTATACAGTACAGGCAATCAAAGGTTATCAATATCTACAATTGGCACTCAAATAGTTTCTCCAATAATATTGGCTGTTGCCTTAACAGCCAAGAAGATACTTTTACCATCTGCATGAGCTATTTATTAGGGGCTTCCTTTAGTATTGTTAAGAAACATGATATTTTGCAGGCAAAATAAAAGGATATGACATATTCAAAAAGGTGTTTAATAGAAATCCCAGTATGGAGTCAAGGACTATTGCTAGATGTGCCCAATAAAAAATATCTTGTTCTAAGCCACCCAAAACTGCAAATAAAAATGTTACAAGCTACATCAGGGAAAGTATAGTGTTATTAATTGTTATCAAATGGAAATCTCCGGGGTGATTCTATTCTGATGAATGTGTACAACTTTAAAAAGCTTCTTTTCTTGAAATAATCTTCTAAAAGCAGGTAACCACCCCAGATTGAAATATTTTTCCTGCTAATAGAAGTCTGACAGAGGTAAGGAGACCATTCCTCAATGCCAGACTCCAAACAAAAAAATTGTACACACAGGGTCTTCTATGAAATCAAACAATTGTGCTCACAGATTCTATACATAACCACCTTCTTCACACTCTTCTAATGGTAGCTTTGTGTTCACATTTTTGAGAGTTTTGGGGGCATATCATCTTAAGACTCCATCTATATGTCCATGTACTTACCCTGGCAGTATCAATCTTGTCATGATGAATCTCCAGGACATTGAGGGCAGCCTTGATGTTGGGTTCCGGAGCTGGTGTGTTGTGCATCATCAACCGCATGGACTCTGGGTCTGGTGGTCTGATGTATGTTTGGAAGAGACTAAGGTATACCTGTAATACAGGTAGAAAAGAAGACAGAAAATAAATTTCAGTAAAGGAAAAGTGTAAAAAAAAATATATACTAACACATATCAGAATTTCAGTTTACAGGTAAAATTTAACACATTGTTTATCATTAAAACTTCGGCACAAATTTACTTTATGAATTTAAAGGAAATAGAAAAATGATAACATCTAAAAAAAGGTATCATTATTTTACTGCGATAAAATGTAAAAAATTGCTTTTCATTGATATAATTCTAAGTGCATTTCTAAGTCATACTTTGTTTTTAAATGCTATACCGTATTTGCCGGCGATAAGGCCGCAGCGCCGTATAGGCCGCATCCCCGATTTTGACATAAAAAAAAAAATTAAAAAAAAACTTTTTGTAGAAGTCGGGATTTGATCTCTCGCGTAGAAATGTTGATTTGACTAAAAAAAACGCCTTAGACCGCTCAGCCACTGAAGCTAGCTTATGTAGTTTTTTGTGATGTATACATTGCGCCTCTCTCTTGTGTATTGAAATGGATTCAAAATATGTGCTGGATACTTCGCGGCAGCTCCGTTAAAGGGGCCCTTCTTTTACTTTTGCAATGCATTGACACGAACTTAGATCAAGATCTATCGGCAGATGTTGTTTTTGGAAGTTTATTTTCGTCTTCATGTCAACAATGCAAGATAAAATTGTCGGTAAGAATGTGTGGAAATGTATAGTTATTGTACCGTTCGTAGATCTAGTCCCTTATGTGCAAATTCGTGCTGGTTTTGACTTACTATTTAAATTTGTTTTTTTTACTCTTTCGTCGCATAGGCCGCACCCCGACTTTTTGATATTTTCTCTTCCAAAAATACTGCGGCCTTTACGCCGGCAAATACGGTACATGCCTTTAGGTTGTTGCAGCCTGCCCCCCCCCCCACCCCCTAACCATGTTAAAAACAACACTGAAGAATTAAGGAATATTTTTTATGAATGAATTCGTAAAGAATGGGATAATTGGTAGTAAGGTTTCAACGGCATTTTGCATGAGTGAATTTTACCAACTTACATCTGTTTCACTTTCTCGACTGATCATGGCAGTTCTGCGACAGTACTCTTCAGCTTGTCTTGTATCCTTGAGTATATGTGCATAGACGGCTAGAGCCTGCTCATGTCTCCCTAACCTGCCTAGCAAGAGGGCTCTCTCCTCAAAGAAACCTGCAGGAAATCAGTGGTACAGCGTACAAGGTCAATGGTATACCATAGCACATCAGAGGTACAGTGTAGCAGATCACTGGTACACCACAACACATCAGAGGTACAGAGTAGCAGATCTACGATACATCACAACACATGAGAGGTACAGTATAGCAGATCTACGGTACACCACAACACTTCAGAGGTACAGTATAGCAAATCAGTGGTACACCATGACAAATCAGCAGTACAGTATAGTAGATCTATGGTATACCACAACACATCAGAGGTACAGTATAGCAGATCAATGGTACACCATAACACATCAAAGGTACAGTATAGCAGATCTATGGTATACCACAACACATCAGAGGTACAGTATAGCAGATCAATGGTACACCATAACACATCAAAGGTACAGTATAGCAGACCAATGGTACACCTCAACACATCAGAGGTACAGTATAGTAGATCTAGGGTACACCACAACACATCATAGGTACAATATAGCAAATCAATGGTACACCATGACAAATCAGCAGTACAGTATAGTAGATCTACGGTGTACCACAACATAATAGAGGTACATTATAGCAGATCTACGGTACACCACAACATATCAGAGGTACAGTATAGTAGATCTACGGTATACCACAACACATCAGAGGTACAGTATAGTAGATCAACGGTATACCACAACACATCAGAGGTTTAGTATAGCAGATCTACGGTACACCACAACATATCAGAGGTACAGTATAGTAGATCAACGGTATACCACAACACATCAGAGGTTTAGTATAGCAGATCTACGGTACACCACAACATATCAGAGGTACAGTATAGTAGATCAACGGTACACCACAACACATCAGAGGTACAGCAGAGCAGATCACTTGTACATCACAACATAACAGGAATACAGTATAGCAGATCATTAGTCTACCACTGAAAATTAGATGTTTGGTTTAGAAGATCAATCATACACTATAGCAAATCAGAGGTGTGGTAGATCAATGGTAAGCAAATAATTACCGTTGGTGAAGGTGATGGGACAAACTATCACTTCCGAAGCGATCTGGATGTAGCTATCTTTCCGAAGCGAAGCTGAGGAAAGATAGCGTATACACTCTGATCGACGAGGAAGTGATAGTTTGCCATCGCCTGAAACCAAAAGGTGATTATTTGCTTTATATTCCATATCTAAAACAATTTTTACTACAAAAAGAAAAGGACGTGTATGCATCTACATAAAAGACACCTCGGCCCAAATTCACACCAAAAAAGTTTAAGTTTAACCCAACCCCTTGAGCGTATGGTGTGCGCATGTGTTTGCTTTAATTGCGCTCATTGGTAATGCGCGCTTAAATATGCCTGTTGTAGTGCGTTTATAGATAATCTTCAGTGAAAGTGCGTTGCCCTGTGTAGATAGTACATCTATCTTCAATGAAAGTGCGTTGCACTGTGTAGATAGTAATACTATCTACACAGTGTAATGAACTTTTTGCTTCTCCCATCAATAATGGGCGAATTATCTTTTATCACGTGATTTACTTTTGACCAATCGTAGAGCAAGATTCTTAGTATGTGGGATATAATATCCAATAGCATTATTATAGTACACAGGTGCAGTGTAAAATTGCAGAGGTACAATAGGCCCCCATATTACAAGTACAACATAGCAAATTAGACACTACATGAAAGTATAATAACCAACAATTATACTATATGACAAATTATTTTGAGTAGAGCATATGGAATCATAACCTAAATTTGTTTTAATTATATTTTCCTAACTGAGGTTTCCAAATGACTGAACAGGATGTACCAAAGTACATGAAGGGATTTCAAAAACTGATTAACCTGTTGATGATGGGAACAGGACATCTTGGGCTGTCTCAAGCGAAGGTCTATCGAAAATGCATGTTACACATAAATAAAGCTGTATTCAATAGGTGAATGAAAGCAATGACTTACTGTCAAATGGGAACCTAGTGAGTAGTTTCTCTGGTCTGTAATATTGTGAAGTCTCTAGAAAGAAGAGAAGCTTCTTTCTGAGTGCACCTAGTTCTCCCGGCTCTGTACCGGCACGGACAAATAATTGACCTTGAGAGGAGGATAAAAGAGAAGATTTGAAAGAATATCAAATTCATTTATTATTTCTAGAATGACTAAAGCAAACTTATTCTCATTTCATCCTACAGGGCTCATGATTTTACAAGTGAAAATCTCAACATCAAGTCATCCATCTTTAACTTAGAGGAGAAATTCATCTTAATATACAAATGATGTGAAATATATAATGGGAAGGCTCACTTTACATTTTTATATTTCAACACTAGTTCTATAAGGCGAACAGGGTTTGATGGCCTAAACTGATTTTATCCTTTTATAGCCTAGAAGACTAATCATTTAATATGAAAGATACCGTATCAACTTAACTTATATACATATACGCATTACAATGGCTTTATTGTAATAATAATTATTTGTATTATTATTATTTATTTTGCACTTTCAATACATTTAAACAATTTTTTTAAAGAACATACAAAATTAGTAAACAAAATATGGCAATAATTTCATAGATACTGGTGCACCGACCAGGCGGCCTTGGAAGGAATATTTCAACTAAATAACCATGCCCATAGGCCTTCCTTCCCAAACCTTGTGGATTAGAACAGACTTTGGTAGGAACAAGATTGTACATGCATCCTTCTGTAATGACTTGCCTAAAGTCAATTAGGTAGCTAAACATAAATGTGAAAGAGGACTTGTAATATCAACCATATAAACTTGCAGCTGGACAAAGATTGTAGTTATAATCTTCATCCACTTCATGCGATTGCATTGTGAAAGATACGTTGTGGAATCGATCAGAAAAGGTTGATCATCTAGCACTTAAGTGTGAATGATTCTAAAGCATATCAACTGAAACACACATACCTTCTGGAAGTGTCTTTCGATAGTCTTCCATTAGAACCTGTATCTTGTCTTTATACAGATTGACAAGCCTGTTGTGAAACTCTGGAGTCTCATCTGAACAGTTGAGGATGATGTGCTCAAGGTAGGGTACAGCTAGCTCTCCAGCTACCGAGGTCAGGTAGTCCAGAACTTGGTCCCTCGGTAAACCCTCCACTTCTGGGATGTCCTCTGTAAATATCTGATAATATCAAAGAGAATTTAATGTTAAGTATCAGTATCTCTTCAGATGCTTTCTTTACTTGTAATGGATAGAGTGGTTATGCTTAATAGTGCACATTCCATTCTCCTTAGTTGCAAAGCATAAATGAAGCATAAACGTTTAATTTTGAGATCAATTAACATCGCTATTAAGAAAGTTTGGGAGTCTTGATAACCTTTAGGTTCTTCCACTACACAAATATGAAGCATTAAAGATTTTTCATATTTTATAGAACTCATTATCATCATCCCCCCTCCCTATTTGAGGATAAAGAATCTAGCTAGTATTGCCTGTGTACAACTTATGGCACTAGAATCCACTGTCATCTATCAATCAAGTAATCAATCAATCACATACATGCCAACATTTGAAAATCAGAAATCTGTACAAATTATGCTATTTTCAAAAAAAAGAGGAACAATCCTAACTCTCCTATTCAATACTACAGACAAATTTGTACAGGAAGAGGAACACCTGCATTAAAATGATAATTATCTTCTCCCAAAAAGAGGAATGTTCCTCTTTAATCTGAACAGTTGGCATGTATGCAATCATTCAATAAACATTAACAAATATGTTATTATTGCTGGAATAGATAAAGACTGGTACCATATCTCACCTTCAGCCCATCTTCTGGATATGACTTGAGCACCCACTGAGCATATTCACAGATGAGATTGAAGTGGTCTTTACCCAGTCTCTGGAGGTAGGATACTGTTCTCTCGTGGCCCTTGAGGGGGCTGTTGGGTTTTTGTGATTGACGTAGTAGCAGGTCCAAGGCTGTAAAATTTTATAACAATTCCATTAATATTATCTTCAACATTTTTTTTCTTCAAAATTTAAGTTACTAAAGAGAGGTAACATGCTTCATAAACACAGGAATTGTGGATTAAGAAAATCAATAAGTGGAGACAAAATCTGCTTTAAATTCAATAATAATATTTTGCAAGAGATGGTATATGCCATCAAAAAATCTTTTATTCTCTTTCCATTTCAATTTAATTCAGCTTTTACATGAGTACAAGCATCAATTTTGAATCTGCCACAGCACGTAACTAAAAGTAATGATGATACTATAACAACAAAAATCCCACTTCAAATGATTCCATTGACAAACTTCAAGCACTGTTAGCAACCTTCAAGTAACATGAAAGTGAGGCCTCACCTTTCTTATGCAGATCTTTCTTCTCATAGAGGATAATTAGTTCACTGTACTTTTGGTATTTCTTCAAAACCCTCTCACTCTCATCAAGATGGCAATTGTTGTCTTTCAATCTGAGCAGCGGAGCAACGAGGGCATCATTAGTCTGGGTGTGGGGAGAGAACATATACATAAGCAATGATACCATGTTAACTAAACACAATTTGAAAATTGCTTCACATTGTAGAGGTGTTGTGGTCTAGTGGATAAGTCGTCTGACTGTGGATCACAGGGTCCGCGGTTCGAGTCCCGCCATAGCACTAATGTTCTTTGGCAAGATATTAATCTACATTTGCCACTCTCCAACCAGGCGTTAAATGGGTACCGGTAGGAAGGAATTCCTTAAATGCTGTGAGTGCCAAAATCTGCTGCCTAGCCCACCATGCATGGTGGATATGTGTGCTATATAAATATCCAAAATTATTATCATTATATTAAAGTGTACCAGTCAGGAAAAAACAATTGTTTTGTTTATTAGTGAAATACACTCTCGAGTAACATAAAAGCAACAGCATCATGTTTCCTTGCAAGGATGTACTTATATGCAGTACCCTGCACTACTTTACTTTAAACATGGATAGAGCAATGGCTTACCTGTAGATAGCATTTGAGTAGAGTTGTGTCTATGATAAGGCTTCTTTGTCTCCTTGAAGTGACTATCTTTGATCCTTCACAGATGGTGGATGGCATGGCTGCTGTCTGTAGACAAGACATGATGGTAAATAAGTCAGGTAGGTTCATTAGAAAAGTAATATACCACACAGCATCTGTTAAAGCTTTCACATACAAATTATTAGAATTAATCTTTGATTTAAAATTTGAAATTAGAATGGCTTCCAGGATTAAGCCTCTTACATAAAAGGTAACATTTAAAGATTTTAAACTCAGCACCAAAACTCCAATACAAGTAATGAAAGTAGATTTATGTTAATGGACATCGCTAGAAATGTTGAGTGGTGTGTCAAAATGAATTTGATGACATGTTGGGTGAAAATTTGGTAACAAAAAAATATCATATTCCCTCACCTTTTATAGCAATGCCCCTATTTACACTTGATATATCATTCCAATTACAGTTATATGTGTTTCAATGTTATAAAAAGTTGTGCTTGGTCTGCATTGATCAAAAGTCTCTAAATCAATTGCAATCTTACAAACTCGTACCTCTTTAATACAGATTTACAATTATTTCCAAGTAGCAATCAATCAATCAGAAGCAACTCTTTATACGACAGGGCCTTGGACTTGTTACCTGTTGAGAGGACTCCTTGGCTAGATCTTGTCTCTTCTGTGTGAGGTACTCCACCAAGGCAGTCAGACCCTTCTCCAGCTCTGCTCCACCAAGCTCTGTAGGTGTGCTGGGGTAATGGAGCACCTGTCTGTACTCCTTGGGTAGGAGGTCTGGGAAGAGACCGATCACCTGCGCTGGATCTATCAACAATGATAGGAAATATATGTGATAATGTGATAAAGTGGTAATGTGCATCTTATTCAAGGATGCCTTTGTAATGTATGGGGTTACCAAATTCTTATTTGGAACAGATACAGTTGCTCTCGGTGTTAAAGAAAAAAATGATGGACTACTCAAACACCCAGGGTTATAAATAATTGAGCAAACCATAACTTGAGATTGATAGTGATTGCAACTCTGAAAATTTGAGATAGGAGACTATAAGTTTGAAACCAATTAGAGAACTCGACGATGATTCAAGCTAATTGCAACTCTTTGTTAAGGTAGGGCCAAAGTGTTTCTTTGACGACCAACATTGCAAAATTTAAATCTACCCATTCCAAATTCTTTAGTACCACTAAATATGTCAAAAGTGGAATGCCATTTCTGTAAAACAAAATGGAAATAAATCCTAGATATTTGAAGGCCTACCTGTCCCAAGTTTGGCAAACATTTTTGCAGACTCTTCAAAGCGATGTTGCTGGAAAAGCTCAAAGGCATAGAGGTTCTGAATGTGTTGGATCCTTCTCTGTCTGTCTGCTTCCACCTCATCTGTCATATACTGTGGGGTTCAAAGGTCAAAGGAAGAGTTATTTTGCATGGTGATATTGACCATGTCCAGAACATCAGATAGTCTATTACATTGGAACTACAAGTTTTCTGCCGAAAGACAAAACAAATATTCTTGGGTCAGCACTGGGACACCTCAGGAAGAAAAAAAAAAAAAAAAAAAACCACCCTCACTGATGAACAAACAAATATTTGTCAATACACTGTCAGTGGGTAGTTTGCAAGAACAAACCTCTTCAGTCATTATATAATCTATATGTTCTAGATCACCCATACACCAAAATTGACCAGTGAAAAGCATAAAGGTAGGTGAATAATATATCATACATGGTCATACTTACTGCAAGATGGAGGGCTAATTCAAACTGCTTTTCATCTACTAGTTGCTGTATTTGTCTTGGGAGTGGAACAGGTTCTAACCTCCATATGTAGTTATTAGATGCTACATACACATGACCACTGAGAACAAAGACAGAGAATAAAAATCATAAAACAGATTACTTTCTAATGTTAATCCCTTATGAGAGAGATAATGCACATAGAACAAGATACAAAAATAAACACAAAAGGATTTGTTTGTCAAACTTCAGTCTGAACGATACATAGTAATGTAGAAACCATAAAAAAAATATTTAAATACGTCATCAGCAGATAAATGAATGATTCTTCTATTCACAATTACCTTGTGACTGATATTATATTTTGGTAGAGTTATACTAATTTGATAGTCATAAAAGTTTATTGATTTTAACTTGGACAGACGATGTCAATGGAGAGCTTTTCTAAGGTATATAATACAAAAACATTTTGTATTTTGGTGTATTTCTGAGTAACCCCTGATACCTGATAACCCCTGTACAAGATCAAGATGGCATTTTGAGAGGTACACTCACTAACCTTCCTTGGGTGATGTACTTGGGTTTGTCTACCTCTATACTCTGTACAAGTAACCTAGGATCAACCGTCCTCACTTCTACATACTTTGGAAGCACAGCGATGATGTATGGCTGGTCGTGTTCTGAATGGAAAACAAGAAATATGCATTTAATTCATAATGAATATCCCTCTCCAATGAGGTCATAATCAATCAGTAAACGTCAAATGATGTCCATCCACAATATTGACTGAAACGTTATTTTTGTCTAGATGCTACAGTTTATGAAAAATGGATTTAACAGCAGTGAATTTATGAATTTGAATACCATACATGCAATGTTCACCTTATTTGTATATGTTCAAAACTTTAAACATACAGTACATTTACATATATATGTCATAATGTGTAGAAGACATACTGTTTTTGAACAGTCTAATTATCAAATTTTTTGTAGTGCAAACTTCCAACAAACATATCAATAAATAATCATTACTTTGTATACAATCTACATAATTGTGGAGTGCCAGGAGTGTCTGAAGTCTGACAGACATGAGCACTATACAAGAACCCACTATTATTATTATTATTATTATTATCATTATTATTATCCTTGTATCCAGTCTTACCTAATACTAATGGAATGTCTGACCACGTAAGAGCATATTTTTTGGCTGGTTGACCGTCTGAATCGATGATGATACTCATGTTGTCCCTGCCCAGGGCTCGCATGTCTTCTGAGAGTTTGGTGACGGTGGGTTCTGCTTGAGAAGCATTGCCTGTTGTGAACAGATCCTTGGGCTGGCCATTGTCAATCTGTAATGACAGGTGTCAAACACATCAACTCTAGCAACATTTACAAATATTGATGGAACAAGATTTCAATCAGAATGCCTCTAATCATTGTTTATCTGATCTTAGTTATAATGTGCCATAATTTGTAAGTTTACATGTCATAGACCCAAATAAATTTCGAGAAAGAAACACAAGTACTACTTTGTCCATAAATATTATATGCAAAATGTTGGTCAGTTCAAAACTGCAGGAAGTTTATGGAAACCAAGTTCTCATGGGGAAAATGCAAAAAGCTTTTTCACTTGTACATGAAAAGTATGTCATGCCTTCCCCTCGGCCCAATGAAATAAAAGGTACAACAACATGAACCCAAGGTAAAAATTTTGCTAAGAATGCAAAACATGTGATTACAATTATCTACTACCGGCCCATCCTGAGAAGGACTCTGAAGACATCATCTATGGAATTGAAGGCATCATAATGATCTTTATCACATTTATGTATAAAGAAGAAAAGATCTGCCTTAAACTCTACAATAAAAAGAGAAGAAGAAAGGTCATGCTTACATTGATGAGGAAGTAATCTCTTTTGAAGCCGACACAAAGTGAATTCTCACACCATGACATTGCTTTAGGAACATCTGGTACTCCTAGATCAGGCTGAAATGAAGAAAAATATATATAATGATTAAACATAGTCGTATGTGACTTCCTTGGTAATTGCACTAACAAAAAAACAAACATTTAAATGGCTTAACTTATTTCTGTGACAGCATCTCTGAGATTTGAATACAGGTCATTCTCCAAGAGGTCGTAATATAAGATGATAAAAGTAAGACATATTTTGACAGTTTTCACTTATTTGGAGCCAAGATATAGAAATATAGAAATAGAACTAATGGAAGTTGCAAGTCAATATTTATTATGTCCTAAATTACGTAATACCGTATGCAACATTCACCTCAATATTATGATTGCAACAGGTATCACAGTGAAATTTTAAAATTTTCTTAATTTCACTTCCCCTGCCCATTTCCTTTTTGAGCACATGAAAAGAAGAATTTTGATACCTCCTTTGTCAAATTTGAATAAGTACTTTTGAAAATACGTCCACTTACATAAGAGACGAAATGGTCAAATTTTGAGTAATTAGGCTATAACTGACAATTAGCCATTTTCAAGGTGATATAATTTTGTAATTAATTGATGAATCACCTTTCTTTTTAAGAAATCTGTTCTCTGTATGGATTTCTACATGCCTATTTTTTTCAGGTTCTTTTGACAAATATTTTTTTGTGTGGAATTTTTCAAATAATTATATGAAGCCCATTTTGATGCGTGTGACAAATGGCTATTTTTGCGTCGCCGGAAAAGTTTCCATGGGTTTTGAAACATGGCTAGATTTAAGAGTGTCTATCAAGAGGGGCTGAATTTCGGCATATCTAGGGTATATATAAAGATTAATTATTTCTGTAAGTTTGGACCATCAAATCCATTTAAATTAATTTTAAATGGCATTTGAAAATGGCTCTAAACTCTTCAAGAAGTCCAGGTAGACAAAGGAACATCCCTTCACTGATATTGTGTAAAAATGTGTAGAACAGGTGTCACATGCATATTCACCTGTTCTACACATTTTTACATAATAGCAGTGAAGGGATGTTCCTTTGTCTACCTGAGGAACTGTTTGTTTTGTCAGCTTTCTTTGTCTGTCATGATCATAGTGTCAGGGTACAGCTGTATTCATCGGATTTGCGCTCAAGCACCATCTCGCGGTCATTCTTAATATTTACATGATCGTATTCTCCAGTAAATTCTCTTTCTTCTCGTATCAAAATTGAATTAAAAGTATGTTTTTCTGATATAGAAAAATTGTTTCAAACTTTTCACTCTGATTTTTCACGATCTTTTTAAAACATACCCCCATCATTTTTTATATGAAAATAAAGCTTAAGATATGCTCTTTCCAACCAGTGGATTTTTAAAACTCAAAGACAAATGGTGTTCAAGCGCATTGAGCTAAAACTAGCGATACAAATCGGCGATCAAATAAAAATGGGGACAAACGAAGTGACACAGTACGAATTAGAGGGTAAATCTCAAGCAACTGTGTTGTAAGTAATTGATGGATTTTGATGAAAATGACATGACATGAAAGACAGAATCCTGAGCTTTCGAGAGACATATAATTTTAAAATTTTAATTTTTTCCATGATATGAAAATCTTCCTTGATAAAGAGAGAATTTGCATGGTTGAGCTCTGCGTGTCCCCACTCAACGCAGCTCTTCTGTGATACCTAATTGCACTAAACATTTTTGATTTTCCTTTCAAAGGAGAACATCTCTTAGAAACTCTTGAGTATAAGGAATTCACATTTGTGATAATATTTGTATTTCATAGAGAAAACTGTAAAGTGTCAGTAACCATGAATCATGAAAAAAATTGCAACTAAGATTAATCAATATTCATTTGACAAGTCACCTGTATTCAATGAACTAACCTTGAGTTCTTCAAATGTTCTGTTTTTCCAGATGAAGAGTTGAAGTTTCCTCTTGACAGCTACACACAGCTTGAGAGTAAAATGGACACCTCCTCCACTAGTCCCCTTCTGCTTAGATAACCAATAAAAACAAGAAAATGAAACCTAAACACACACAGCATATCCTGTCAAACAGATCATATTACTGGTAGGTCATACATGTAACATTAGCTGCACAAAATTCAAATTACAAGTTGATAGGAGAATCACATTCGATTTATTGATCTATGGTTGGTTGTAACGTTTTAATATTATAGGGCATCTCCATTTTCTATGCACAATCTCATTTCTATGTGATGTAATGCAATTTTTAAAACAATACACAGCTACCCAATCCCAGTATCAACTCGATAAAGACTTGGTGATGGAGTCTCAATGTAGCGGTCTAGGATATAATATTCATAACATCATTGCTGACTCTGAACTTGGCTTGCCCATACAGATCTGATAGTTCAATCAAATCATGATATGTCTGGATTGAATAGTCAAAGCTGACATTTTTTTCTTTAAATTTGAAGCCTACAATATATTGAGAAATGTTGGTGATCAAGCATGAGTGCCAACCTTATCTCTGAACTCTGCTTGACTAGGCATTGCACCTATAAAGAATGGGCTCAGTTGTGAGTCGGTCAAAGGAGATGCAGACAGTTGTATAATGTTTGATCTTATGTTTGATCTCATTCTTATTATTATATATGCATGATTTATTGAAAAAAGAACACATTTATAATTTGTGTGTTCATTATAAATTTTGTAGACAGACAATGGAGCACTTAGAAACAACCATATTAAGCGCCTAATAAATGTTGTGTATTGTTATTATTATTATTATTATAATTTACCTGCATATCAGTGGAGAAGAGGGTAGCTCCCTTGGTTTTGGCAATGCTTGTGATCGGTGTGAAATGATTCAGTTCATGCACATTGATGACGGCATCTGTGTAATTAAATATAGAAAGACAACACAGAGTTTTAGCGTTCACTGTGAGCTTGACATCAAACACTTATGTTACACTTTTTTCAATATATTTTAGTACTAATGATCTAGTGAACAGTCTCTAAGTGTTGCTACCAAAAGACGTTCTGAATGGTTTTCAAATCTGTCTACTATGGACCTTCATCCTGGAACAACTAGCCCACTTGAATGGTTACCCCCTAACCCCCTAAGAACTACCCTAGGACACCTGACCACCCCCCCCCCCCTTGGGGCAACTGTCCCTAATTAAGTAGTACCTATATCAAGGTTAATATAGTTGTAGGAATTTCAAGGAGATAATTATCAGTAGGATACATGTCATTGTCGGGGGGGGGGGGGGGGGGGGGGGGGGGGGGGGGGGGGGGGGTTATCCCAGCAGGAAAAAAGTTAGCTGAGAGGTACATATATATGTAATTGTCAATGGGGTTTAGTATTCGTCCATAAACAATACAACAGACTTAGCAAAACTCAAACTTTAGCCACAATTGTTATTGTTTAAAAGCCATGTCAGAGACACTTGGGATTATCAACTCCAATTGGAGATTTGAATGACTCATACCCTTCTGTGCATGAGGAGTTCATTGTTAATCTTACATTCCCTGCAGTCAGTCAAAGACTGTTCAATGATCAAAAGCAACACTCATGTACATACAGGTATGGGTGCATTCACATTCACATCAAAGTTTTGATCCAGCAGACAGGCTCAGTACATGCATCATTAGCATAATGACTTGTGCTAGCTGTTATTACAATCTACAGTAAATAGCTTATTTGTGTGAAATATCCTACATGCCGTGGTCCAGTTACCATGAGATGAGAATACATCAAATTCAAATGAAGTGGCCATAATTTTGCAGTTGGCCGCATTGAACGATTGTTTGATCTATCAGTGCAGTAAAAACTATCACAGCTGTTTGTGTTCATACATTGCATAAAAACAGAATGAGCAGCTTGAAATTATACATTTTTCAATAACTTAATTCGTACTTCTTTTTTTTTCCTTTTTTTTCGGGGGGGGGGGGGGGGGGGGGGGGGGGGGGGGGGGGGGGGGGGGCGGTTCCAGAACAGAATGAGGCACCCGTTAGTACAGGATTTCTCCCTGATCAAATGTTTTTATAGCATTCATCTAAACATGGCCCAAAACACAGAAGTCACTTGTATGAATCATAACAGACAGATACTTTTTAAAAGCCTGTAACCAGGTTGCATCAAACGAGATCTGCGGAGGCTGGACTCTCTGGCTTGTAACCAACAACCAAGCAATCTCCAGGTACATTTAGTATTAGTCATGCCAATTACACAATAATTTGTACATGTCTTACATGCAGACACATTTCACTTTTAAAGTACACCAAAGATGAATCACCAATTTAGAGCAGGAATGCTATAAAAAAAGTACATGTGAAGTTATAATCACAAAGGCCTAGTTTATCTTATCCCTGTTGTTAGAAACTTGTTGCTGTTATATAAATAATTAGACCTGCGTGACATTTCTTTTAAACGATTTGTAATGCCAGAAGGCTCCCCAAAACTTGTACCTAATATATCTATGAATAGTTAACAACAATGAAATATAGGTTTCTGAATGGTTTATTTTTTGACAAAATGTGTTCAAAACCCAACTGTATGATTTAATCTCTTTCTTTTTTTCTTCTTTTATTTCCTGTATGATTTACATGTAATCTCTGGAACTGTTCAGCGGTCATTTTCTTTACCCCTAAAATCTCATCACTACCCTAACATTAAATAATATTTTTGTTAATTATTTTTTTGGAGAAATATTTTGGATCATATAAGATTTCAGGATAGGTTAGAGTAAGGTATAATAGTATTTTGTCCACCTGCATTGACTGTGGAGCAATTGTCACCATGCAGGCATGTGTTGTACAACCCTGGTGTTGTACAACCCTGGCTTGAAATGTTACTCTGCGATCTTCTTACCTGAAAGACTAATGACAATCTGCATCTCTGGAATGCATTCTAGTTGCTGAATCGGCTTCTTGGAGAACGACTTGAAAGACTTCAGAAGATCAACTTTAAATGTACCCACTGAAAGAAACAAAAATGGGAACCAAGCGAGAAAGTTAGATATCATGATACAGTCAAACCTACTTCAGTGACTGATCGTGGCAATAAACTAAAGCTAGAGGTACATGTACATACTTCCATGAACATGTACATGCCAATATGTTTAGCTTCATCTAAATGTAAATATTAATGAATTATCACTAGAATGGATATATTCACTACAAACAGGAACTCTTAATCAGACTACTACATGTAGGTAGTCTCATTTTTAAAACAAATGCAGATCTGGGAAAGTCCATGCTATTTATTAATGTTGTGTCATTAACATGTATGATAGTTAATGTAAATATAAATTATTATCTAAAGCATAATTTATTCATATCATTTATGTTGTGTCACTTACATGTATGTTAGTACATGCAAATTATTATCAAAATTCAAGAGCATAATTTTCCATGGCCCAAGCTCTAGTATGTCTATCAACTTGTAAATACATTCACTTGATTTTGGACTCAAAGCATTTTTTTAAACCACTATTTGTTGTAAAAATTATGAGAATTATCTCTTAACCTGGCACGACGCTCTTAATCAATGATTTATTTTGTAATGAAAAATCATATTGCACAATATTTTACAAATGAAATACAACAATTTGCATCATATATACATCAAATATTCCTATGACTTTTAGTTCAAGTTATTCAACTGAAACTATCATATTGTGTACAGATCTAAATATCAAGAAGATATCAATTGTATTCATAATTCCTCCTAGTTTCCTAGAAAATGCTAGCAACAGTGAGATTTCAAAACATGCAATGCAATGTACATGTAGTTATAGGTCTCAAGAAGAAATTGCATGAGATCCTATGAAAACATTGTTTGTTCACATGCTATCGAATTTCAATACAATGAGGTACTTATCAATGATGGTGTATGATATATGTGCCAAAACGTGCATTCAAAGGAGAGTACATTTGCATTCATGTATCAGCTGACCTTTAATGATTTCCTATGCCACTATCTGACACAACTGAAAACACTTTCATTTGCCAAAATTCAGGATTGTTTCATTTTCCATTTAAAAAAGAAAAGCCTATTTAGAATGATAATTAGCCCTTTCTATGTAATCACAAGCATTCATTCCCTCTTTTCATACTTTTTGTACTTACTGTACATGTAGACCATGTATATTATGTATGAAAGTGGTAGATTCACACTTGACTTGTCAGACCAGGGGGGTGTTTCATAAAGCTGTTCGTAAAGTTACGCATGACTTTACGAACGACTTGTATGTGAAAAGCAAAATGGGATGCTCAATCATTATTAAATACATCAACTAAAGTTGAACTGTGCAGATGTAAATTAAAGGCAATACAAAGTTTTGGTATGGGGTCCTGAATTTGGTTCAAATGAACATATTGGAAGCATATGCGATCCTACAATATTCAGTGATGATTGTCACGGTTGAAATCGAGTCTTAAGTTATGAAATTGTGAATAATAAACTCTTTAAGTTGTGTAGCTCCCTCTCAAGGTCAAGATATTAATCAAGCTATAAAACAATGTTCCTTGACTTAAATTGACCAATTAGCTATTCCCGTTCGGAAATTATATACCACAACTACACATTCTGAGATTCTCATGGTCGCAGCTTCCATTGTACAGCCGTAGGCGCTTTTTGAAATTTATCAAAAATTTACCGGGAGCACCGGTAAATTTTTATATTCAATTTTTCTTGAAAGCAGAAGTGTTTTAGGGGCTAAATTTTCTAGTGCTTATAAAGCACCAACAGGGGCATCCAAAAATATCAAAATTGTAAAGAATCACTATCCAGCCAATTTTCAAAATTTCCCAAAACTGTATTACCTTTTTTTTTTTTTTTTAGCAGAGGTTTCTGCATTTATTGATAAATCAAATATAAAACATTCAAATAACAATAATAGTATATAATATAATTGATTTACATCAAGAGTGACAACTTAATACACACAAAATAAAATATTTAAAAAAATACATAATTGAAAGCTTGAAAGTATGGAGGTAAGTAAAAATAATCAAGATAAATGCAGAGGCCTTTAACATTCTTATGATAACAAACATTTTACAGGTAAAGACCAGTATTGGAAACGCCCCAATTTCAAAAAGTGAAATGGAAGCTCTTATTACCAATCATGTGAAAAAATATGTTTTGAATATTACATGATGATAACAATTTTGACGGGAAACCGCCTACTAATTGATATATTTGGTAAATAAGTGTATCTCTCGCCTGTTGAGAGATATGAAATGTACATGTCGCGCATGTGTGTGTAGTCCCATATACATCTTTCTGTGTACAGTGCTTCTAACTTTATGAAGACTTGGCCAAATTTCTTATCATTTTGATGATTCCAGAACCTTGCAGTACATCTACATGTACAGTATGCTAGATGATCAACCTTTTCTGATCGATTTCACAACGTTTCTTTCACAATGCAATCGCATGACCGTAACTGGTCTTTAGCTTTAATGCAAAGTATCTTTTTTGCCATAATTTAATTGAGGTTATTGAAAATATCAGAAAATTTTAGTTTCTGGAAACTACAGCATGGTGTGAATACAGCCCTAGTCAGCTGGTTAACTACACAGCTGACACCTAAATCCTGTTACAGTCACATGAATATGACTTACATGAAATACCCAAGGGAATTACTGTCATTGGAGATAAAGTATCAAATTTGCTTCAACGCACAATCTGCTTGTCATATCATCTGTTCATCTGTTTACACTTACAAGTTACAAAAAACTTACAATATACCCAAAATGTTTAAAAGCCTTAAAGTAATGAGCACTTTCAATATTCAATGCAAATAGAAATGTGATGGAATTCTCAAGTACAGCAGCCCACTAACTTGACACAGAGTGTAAGTTTTACAATTGGCGATATTTTCACTAGGGGTTGAGCACAAGATTTACAGAAAGTGAAATGTAAAAATATAATATACTAATATGTACATAATAGGATACATCTTGGATTGGAAACATACATGTAGCCATTTTAATGCTAACATGTATTTGACAAGATACTTGATATAAACAAGCAAGCAAATAACATGGTGCTCAGTTGCTGGAATGGACCTTAAGTTCTTTTGAATAAAAGTGGAATGGCAACTGTACCTGATTTATTTATTTTAATTTTCATCTTCTCTAATACTGAAGACACAAGCAATAATATTGTACAAAATATGAGGCTGAAAGAAGTCTACAGTCTACACGAATATACTGTAAGTCACTCAGCACATTCAAATTACAATACCCAGATTCATTTTTTCAAGTAACTCCCTTTATTGTTGATGATTGTATGTGGTTGAGTTTGTCCTTTTGAATGACCTCAAAATGGGTTTAGCAAAAATCACAGTGCGTCCCATACTGCCCTTTCATGTATATGACACCTCAATCAGGAAAAATGAGCAAGGCATGACAAGGTTCTGTTTGTTTAAAGTAGCCCTCACATTTTCATAATTTTAGCAAACAAATTTGTTTTCACTGGCTGCATGCCGTAGCAAAAAGCAGAATCGACAAAAGACATAACTCCATTTTGTTGACAATCAGCCATGCATGAAGTCTTTCGTCTACAGCTGATTGTCAACGAAACGGAGTTAAGTCTTTTGTTAATTTCATTTGTTGATACTGCAGGTAGCCAGTGAAAACGAATTCATTTAATCAAATTATGGAAATGCAAGCACTACTTTGAACAAACAGAACTTTGTTATTCCTTGCTCATTTTTCCTGATTGAGGTGTGATATGAAAGGGCAGAAACTCAACTTTCTAGAAATGTGATTTTCTCTTTGACATTCAGATATCGTCCGCCAAATGACTTTTTGTTTTCCTCTCTTCAAATTGATTTTGATCACTCATGCGTGAAATATGCATTATATGAGTTGCATCAAATGAAAGAGGAGGATCTAAGCTTTACAAATATGTGTCATTTATCAATTATAATTGTGATTAAGTTATGATAAAACATCAATAATTCTCGGTTTCGTTTTTTCCGGGACGCACTGTATAGCAAGTATCACAGTTAAAGAATCAGCATCCAAATGCAAAACAGGTGAAACAGTTAAGACAAACACAAATCTAGGCCCCCCTCCCCCCATAAAAAAAGAGAGAAAACACAGAAAATGGCTTATAGCAAGGTAGGCTTGACCTGTACTATACAGTGCATATATACATGTATATAGACAAAGTATACCAAATTTAAGTAGCTTATTTATAATTAAAATGTAAAAATTCACCTGACCCTTAAATCTACTTCATGGTAAAGAGTGGATTGTTTTCTGTCTAACAATACACTATTCATAATTTTTCTTTCAACCTACATTCATTCATTGCTTCAACCCAAACTTGGTACAAGCAGATTTTGACAAACGAGCATTGAAAAGGCTGCTGCTCACTTAGCCGTGGCTGCAAAGTTAATAAAGTTAATAAGGTTTTATTAGAGAGAATATTGGTTACTCTTTTAAATTAATTCAAGGTCACATAGGTTACAACTTTGAAATCGGAATCTGCCAAACTTGGGTATACTTTTTCTTAAATACAGTGGCCCGTATTCTGAAGTCGTGTCTAACTTTAGCCCTGTCTAAAGTTTAACAACTGTTTAGTTAGACACGACTTAGACACGACTTCAGAATACGGGCCAGTGTGGTCAGTGAATGTGCCATATATGGTAGTGTCAGTCACTTGCAAGCTACCACCAATCAACATGCATTCATGTATAAATCAACTCTGAACCCAGTTTGAAATAAAAAGATCAACAGCATTTAAGAAATAGAGGTGTTGTTGTCTAGTGGATAATTCCCGGGACTGTGAACTACATTGTAAGGGTTCAAATCCCACAGTGGCACTACTGTCCTTTGACAAGACACTAATCTGCATTTACGACACTCGACCCAGGTGTAGTAAGTGGGTCCTTGGTAGGATTCATTCATTGAATGCAATGAGAGCTACGGTTGCCAGAGCTAAAGCAGAGGTAATGATATCTAAATCCTTTGCAAAGAGATGTTATATCATAATGTAATATGCCCTATACAAGAATGGCATATTACTATTATAACTATCATTGAGATTCTTAGTAACAGCATCATCATATCAAAGCACAGGTACACCAATGACGGATCTAAATTACTATAATAAGCAAATGTCACATTTTTTTCGTTATCTGGTGGGGGGGGGGGGGGAGGGTTAAACTGCAAATGACAGAACTGCATTTTTCTCATCTTTGACTCATGCAATGTGGTTCTAGCTTGTGTAATGTATTTTGATAACCCCCTCAAAGTCATTCCGTAATATAAAACTAGAAGCATACTTACATTGCCCTCCAGTGATACTGTAGACTAGGAGATGTCCTGGTTTGGTTCCTACAAGCAATTGATCTCCTGTTAGGGAAGGATAGGAGATCGCACAATGTTGAACAAATGCTCTTCATCTAGACAAAGCTATGATTGAGCAGCTATTTTTTTATGATTCTCGAAATTAATTCTACGAATTGTACATTACACTGGGTACTCAACAAAATGCACTGAATGTCTTTAGAGGAAACTTGATTTTAGAAGCAATAATTTTCCCTTGTTGAAAGGTAAAAGTTTTATTCCTGAACTAAAAAGTCTCTCCAAATCAAGCTTGATGCATGAAGTTCCCCTGGTACATCACATTATCAAGAAAATGACTGTGCCCATGTCATGCTAAGAGACAGTAAATCATGCCAAGAGTTACGTCCATTTATATATATATATATATCTCTTATACATTTAAGTAAGAAATATTGTACATCAAAAGGCAGGAGATACACCTCATCTGTCAGCATAACTATGCTTTTTCTTTGGGGTGAAGTTTCCTTTAACTTCTATTATACATACCGACAGTTAGTTTTGGTGGTCATAATCTAAAACCTGCGATTGTGATTTTGCCTAACAACTTACAATTCTGGCTAATTTCCAGTAAACAGGATATGTATACATGCATCTGTGACCTGTATTTCAAGAACAAAAATGTGCAGGAGCAAGCTAGACTCACCATGGCAAGCTATTGACTCTATAGGTAGAGGGAGCTTCTCCAGGATAGGGCGTGCTTCATAGGCATCATGCATGGTGGATCACCGAGTATCCCTGACAGAGCAAGCCCTGGAAGCTAGCTCACAAGATTCCTACTTGTTCCTGGTTCTAGATTAACAGCAAATTGAGGTAGGGTCCATTACCGATATATATGCAGTTAACCTGTGAGCAGAAAAAGATCATCAACAATATTATATAGAAGATTCCTACTTTCTTAGTACAGTTGATGAGGACTATGTACAAGTAGATTTCTGAAAAGGTAAAGATGTTTTTTGACATGCCATCCAACCTCTAAATAAATTTAAGATCATTTCTTTTGTTTCTATCAGTTATATGCAGATCCTGAAGTTGACTTGTGGGAGGAAAAAAAATGACTGACAAACATCAATAACCCTTTGCATTTTTTACGCTTGTGTACAGTTTGTTTGACAAAATGAAATGTTCCATAAGCTACACAGTTAAACACGTACATGTACAAGCTTATTTTGTTGATACTTTTCTTATCATTGCTTCTACTGTTTGTGTTTTAAATTGGTATTAAATGCGATGATACTGTGTACTTTTAGGTGAATTTGTACTGCATATGGTGGACCGGCCAGAATCCCTAACTCTATTAAGTTTCCTTTATTTTTGTTAAAATTATCATTAGATAGAAATCATTAGTCGGCTGTCGGCTTAAAAATCAAGATTTGCATTCATTTATTACCTGTGCATACTGCGTATCTTAAGTAAAGCTAAGGACTCTTTCAGTTTGTCCAAAAATGTGTCTTTGACATTTGTTCATATATTATATTTTCAACAATTTAACCTCAAAAATATGTAGAACCAATAAAGGTAGATGAAATTTGCTTAGACCTCTGCATTATAGGATTTGCTGCTGCTGAAAACAAAGTGTGTAGCTCAGCACACCCAAGGTGCCGTGGCATCAGGACATCTCTAGGGGTGCCGCAAGACTATTTTATTAATCCATCCATTATGAAATAAAAATCAATTTCATGAACAAATATTAAATATTAGAAACGGCTACAATGTAAGTAATGTCATGAAGAAAACAAACATTTTAATGACAAATTAAGTGCCATTTCTAAGCGCTCGCTTCGCTCTTCGCTTGCTCACAACATTTACAAATAGTACGATTTCAGGCATTGAAGTCTCACATCATTAGGTAACAAGCATTTCTTTGACAGCAAGTTGCCTAAGAATGTGTTCTATATATTTTCATATTGAACTTTCAGTTTTACCCTACCCGTTTGCTTCACTCGCTTAGAAGATTTATAACTAGGATGATTCTGGACAATTAGATGCCTGAAGATCCTTATATTCTTGCATCGAGATGGCAGAATATATCAATTTTGTATTCATATTCTGGGCATTGAGGTTCCAGCATAATATCATATCTTCTCTAATGTATCTAATTATCTTTATCACAGGATTCACGGCAAACTGCAGCACAACACAAGTGCATACTGCTCAGTTAGCGACGTTAACTAAGATTACAGCCAACTAGTAACTGAACACATGCGCGTGCCCGCCGTATGCAATTGTATTGTGCTGCAGTTTGCCATGAATCCCGTGAGAAAGTGCATATTGATTATTAGACCAAAAGCTTCAGTCTCTCTATATCGTCGGTTGTTCCACTGAGACTCTGCTGACGGCCGCACTCGGGAGTGGAGGCATTAGTAATATTGATTTTTGTTTGAAGTAATTTTGATTTTTGTACATGTACAGCGCTTTGAAACTTTTGTCACAAGCGCTATATAAATTTGTCATATTATTATTATTATTGCTCCACTAGACCTCCGATTTGAATGTCAACAAATGTCAGTTTTATTAAAGAAATGACCCATATCAGATGGTTATTTCTGTCTAGACTAGGGCATCTCCACGCCGGAGATACGGTTCAAATTTTGGAAAGATCTAGGGTAGAGTGCCCAGTATTCGGTCACTTAAGGGGAAATCAATAATGTTTTAAATTCTTACCTCTTTTATTTATAAAGAAATTTATTCCTCTAACACAAACAGGATTTTATAGTCACTAAAAATATAGAATAATGATAAGCAAAATACTTCCGAAAAAAGACAGAGCATTTTTCTGCCCAGAATTCAGTTGCGCCAAATAGAATTCGGTCACGCGATTTGTGCGTGGTATCTCCATTGCCAAGGAGCGAAGCGTATTTGCGCACTATTTTCACACAATTGCCCGATAAAGCACTGAATGTCAATGCGTTGACCAAATACTGGCCGAGTGATACCGCATGGCAAGGGTATCGTATAAATACCTCTTGCACATCGGCAAGTGCGTCATTTACAAATTCGTTGTGATGGAGCGAACACAGAAGTGATTCTCTTCGCACACATACTAAATTCATTGCGACAGCACACGTAGTTGTTTCGCAATAGACTTGTACATATGGCTATGCATGTTAGCGCATGTGCTAAGAGAACGCGGAAGTGCAGAAAGTTGTGCGACACTGACCAATTTCGAGCTAAGTTGGAGATCTTTCCGAGGCCCTAAATCTGATTTAATTTTGAGAGTTAGGAAAAGTTGTTCAGCTGCCTGATTTGTGCAAGTTTCTTTTTTTTAATTGTTACAGCTGTTGAAACGGCTGTCTGACGTAAAGCTGACCGAATAGATCTAGAATCTAGTCTAGATCTACTGGGAATGGACCGAATACTGGGCACGCTACCCTCGACTTCTGAACTAGCGTCAAACCGAACGTTTTATATTTCTTAAAAGGGTGCTGTGACAATAACAACTTTGCATAGCTTATATCCACCCCCCCCTTCCCCCTCAGTCATAAATTGCAGTATTGTACTTGATAAATGATATCGCTGACCGACGACCGACCCAGCTCAGGTCAATTTGCTCGACACAAATCAAAGCCGGAGCCCCACACAGCAAAGGCAGTGTCATGTTTTTCAGCTCGGTAATGTTTACATGAAAAAAGTTGGATTAAACCTTTCTACATATCATAAAATGTATATATTCACGGTTACTTACCTAAACTTGAGGTACGAACACTATTCGCAACTTCCTGGAGTCTGGTTCAATGTAATTTTGAGAAATTTTAATCGCATTACTTTCTCCGAGCGGATCGAGTGAAACAGGATGGTCATGTGAAATGGAAAACGTTGCCGAGTGCAGGATCATCAGTAAAACATAAACAAAAAGTAGTCTGCTAGCGCTTGTGTTCGTTGGCTCCATTGATTTCACAGTTGATAACTGAGGAATATCTTAGGGTATCAACCTGCGGTTTTAAAGTCTGAGGTAACTGTTAAAATGCAAAATATCGTGTTTATGTTGTACATATGACAATAGCAACTTATAACGACTGATATTACGCACCCATATATTAGCAATCGAACTAATTTTTTGTTTTGGCTGAGCCTCAGACTCTCAGTACCGACCACGCCCCTTTTTTCTGTATTATGTTGGTCAAATCGCTATAGTCTACTGATAATCACACAATGTTACTGTAAGTGATAAATAAATCGCATTGTTGTCCCGGTGTTATGAATCTTGGTATATCAATGGATTTAAGTTTCACATTTGGCCTTGAGTTGATTCATTGAAAATATTTGCCATCTTTATGTACCATAAAATAATAACACTTCTAGACTCGTAAATCCCATATTAACTCTATCCACTGCCGATATACAAATAAGTGTAACTGCTTCTGAATATGGAATAATATACCATACTCGTTTCGAGCAATAGAAAATAAGCCAGCATACAAACAAAAAACTGAAGACCCATCTGTTTTCTACAGAGCGTATCCGGACAACTACCCCTAGTACATCTATTCCCTAGGGCAACAACCCTCTATACGACTACCCTCAGAAAAACTAGCCCCCGGACAACTACCCCTAGGACAACTACCCCTAGAACAACTACCCCCGGACAACTACCCCCGGACAACTACCCCCTAGGACAACTAAACCCCCGGACAACTACCCCCAAACATCTACCCCCTAAAGGATAGTTGTCCCGGGGTAGTTGTCATATATAGAGGATGGTTGTCGTAGGGGGTAGCTGTCTGGGAGATAGTTGTCCTAGGGGCCCTGAGTTGATTTATTGAAAATATTTGCCATCTTTATGTACCATAAATAACACTTCTAGACTCGTAAATCCCATATTAACTTTATCCACTGCCGATATACAAATTAGTGTAACTGCTTCTGAATATGGAATAATATACCATACTCGTTTCGAGCAATAGAAAATATGCCAACATACAAACCAAAGCCAACATTCAAGTCAACGCGACGTGACGCGACGCTACCCACCCCCTTAGCATAAGCCCTTCAGAAAACCGTTTGTACGCGTTTTATTGGTACAGTATTTATATTTGACTGAGACCCCCGGGTTAAATCCCCGTAAATACTCGTAATTTAAAATGGCGCCAATGTCAGCGCGTGCGCACTCTTGTAAACGTGAAAGGGTGTATTCAGCATTTTAATAGTGAGCTTTTAAAATACAGCCCCTGGATTTATTTCATATTGCTAACGGCTTTATAGCAACTTGTTTCTGTCTTTTATGGTCGTTTCCCAGCTTTAGTTGTTAGTACTCGAGTAATTCTTTGGCATCATCATAAATATTAATAAACGAAATAAAAAGAGTAAAATTCCGTTTAATTGTTTTCAAAAATCCGTATAAAAATAATGAAAATAATAGGGTTCAGAGAAATTCTCCACTGATTAATAAAAGACCTTTTCATAATTAATTTGATCTAAATCCTCCGGCCTGGATTTATTTTTAATTTACCATAAAACACGGCACTGCATTCCAATTTCAACTGCCCATCGATTAATAACTTAAAGTTTCTCTTCATCTCCCAGGGAGATGTTAATCGTTATAATATGAATACTTGTGCCCGGAAATGTCTCTTATGAATTTGACATAGCTTTATAAACAAAATTCTTTCCACTTAGATCATCTTTTCATTTTTCCGTGCCTAAGATGGTTCTATAAACGTCAGATATCTTTTTCTCCAGACACTGTATTTCGGTCACTTGATGTACCATAGCATCCAACAGCTATACAGCGCAGGTGTGAGAGTAGAAGGGAAAGATGAAGTCCTGCATTCTCTACTGGTTTACAAGACGTCTTTTTGCGATCTTCTTTCTACTCATCTTTTCTCCTTCAACCAACCATTCTGTCGTAAGTAGCGCCATTTGCCCTGAAGAATGCTCATGCTCGTTGTATGTCATCGACTGCTCCAACAGGTTGCTGACCACAGTACCTACTACCAATATTTCGTATAATGCTAGAAAGTTCGTCCTAAGTGTCAATCACCTTACCATCATCGAGGATGAGACCTTCTCCGAACTTATTAACCTTCAGGAATTACGTCTGAACCACAATACTATATATACTTTGAAACCGCTAGCTTTTCGAGGTCTTAATCATCTTATGGAACTCAGTCTCAAGAATAACCGTCTTGTTGATATATCCGCCATTCGTAATCTCCCAACTCTTTCTTTACTCCATATCGAATCGAATTTCTTACAGAGATTTAAACCAGGAGATTTCCATGACGTATCTCTTGCTAATACCTTGACTTTGGCGTTATCTAATAACTTTATTGCAAAATTGTCTTCATTGTCGCCACCTGTAAATTATCTTACAGCCATATCTACTGGCTTGACCATCTTCGATCTTCATCTAATGACTCATGCAGATAAATTGCGCCTGGCAGATTTGAGTGAAAATCACATTCGTATCTTACCGGACCTCGGTAACCTGGCTTCGCTAGAAAAGCTGATCCTTACAGGGAATCCAATTCACTTGATCTTTTCGTCTAACCCTCCCAGCAGTTTGTACTATTTAGATATAAAATACGCCGATCTCTCGTTTATCCCTGTATCCTGGGTTGGCCACATCACTTATTTATTTCTTGACGGGAATAAATTCAAATCCATACACGATATTTGTCATAATAAAAGCAACAACATACATACATTGTCGTTGGCAGAAAACCCTCTGCAAGATGTAAAAGCCACTCCTCAATCAACCGATGCACAAATGAGTGACATATTTACGATTGACCTGCGTATGATGCCTAATCTTCGAAGACTGTTTCTGATTAATAACAAAGTCAAGCAACTAAAAATATTGCACAGCGATCTTCTACTCGACAGCATGACTCGCGATCATCCACACAATCTCACCTTCCTGTTTCTTAATCAAAACTCAATTACAGATATGCCATTTCTTAGAATATTCTCTCGTTTAAAGAGGCTGATTCTTTCTCACAACGAAATCCAGACGATAGATTGGGGACCCTCTGACCAACACATTAGACTACAAACCTTAGACCTGTCTTACAATCAACTTCCAATTCTTGAGAATTTCACGCATCTGGATGTCCTCTCAAACCTAGATGTATCTTACAATTGCATACGGATGGTCACGAGGGGAGCATTTAATGGTTCTTTTAACTTAGTGGTTTTGAAAATCCGCGGCAACTACCTTACAAGGCTTCCTGACTTATCTTATTTGCCTAAACTTCTTCATCTGGATCTCAGTGAGAATTCCATGGATTGTATCCTTCAAGACGATTTAAGTAACCTGACTAGCGTATTGTTTTTGAATGTTGCAAAAAATTACATCACCAATGTTTCGATTCCAATTTACAAAAAATTCCGTTATTTAAACTTGCAAGATAATCATCTATCAACATTGAATGAAATCGGATATCCAGTGACTTTGAACGTTGATGGTAACATGATTTCTAGTTTTCGCTTTAGCAATTGCGATGATCAACCGTTTACTTCCACAGCAAGACTATCCAACAAAAGCTCGACAGATATGCGCCTTCCCATGACTACTAAGAAATTTCATTGTTCATACAACCGCATTTTATCTTTGGAAGAAAATTCGATGTTAATTAATAGGAGTAATGAACAATGTGACACTTCGTGTTATCTGAATACGGTTGTCTTAGATTGGAATATGATAAGATATATTTCCCCCAATGTGTTTAGTTCGTGCAAACTGAGTTTTTTATCACTCGAGGGTAATCCAATTCACGTAATTCCCAGTGAGTATGTCACATTTTTAGCTACTCTTTCTTTATCACACACAAATATACTAACTACATCATTTTTGTCTACGTTAAAAGGCACATCCCTTAGGCACCTATCCCTGAGCAACATCCCAATGTTTCGACATAACCCCGAAACCCTGAGTTTCGATCTTCCTGAGTTAAATTCAATGTTCCTTTGTAATAATGGTATAGTCAACATTCCTAACATGACAGCCCCTTTCCTTAACAGTCTAATTTTAAGTGAGAACAAAATTGCGTTTCTACCCCAAGATGTGTTTCTAGGTATTCCGAGGGTCTATCATGTCGACCTGAGTAGCAATCGCATCAAAAGTATTTCTGCTCAAAGTTTTACTTTTTGTATCTTCATCGAAGAGCTCAATCTGGAAAACAACCAGATCCAGCACATCAGTCAGTCAGCGTTCATCAATCAGGGTCATTTCATCCTTCGACTGGGAAACAACCATCTCGTATCGATTCTGTCAAGTTCTCTACCGTTGCTCTCTCGGACCATCTATCTTGATCCGAACCCATGGCACTGTGACTGTGAATCAACGGCGCTTAGAAGATGGCTCTTGCTATCGGGCGTCCAGCTGTACCAGTGTATGAAGCCATCGAATTTCAGGAACAGGAGTCTCGTAAGTCTGAGAGAGTCAGAGCTGTGTCCTGATGTATTTGGTGACTTTGAACCATCATGGGATATTTCCTTCAACGAAACAAACAATGCTTCTAACAGTACGAGTAATGAAGGAACGGCGGCGTGTAATGGAATATTCTATATTTTACCAATTATTGTCTCTTACCTAGGAATATTGTGTATTAATTAATACATATTCTGGATGTAATGCAAATTTAAGTAAAGCATGTAAACCTGGATCCCTCTTCTTATAAAGATTTCATGGGGTAGGGAAGACTGGTTTAAAAAGATTAAACTATAGAGACTTTAGCTGCCTTCAAAGTGTTACTTACAAAATAGAAAAATCCAGTTTATAGCCCCACCCCACTACAGATGTTCACATTTTCCTCACTTTGAAATAGTTAAGTAGTACGAATGTTTACTTTTCTTTAAAAAGCTATTTACTTTGATTCATGATTAATACTTTGTATAAAGCCGTGTATTCGCAAAACTTTCTCTGATGATGTATTCGCAAATTGAGGAGGAAGTAATGTCATCAAAATCTAATGACCTTTGTGAGATATTTCAGGGAATACTTTGCTCGTAAGTACTTTCAAACTATTTTACTTTTCGAACATTTACTACCCTCACTCTTTCCTACTTTGTCAGTTATGGAATTCAGATTATCACAATCATTTTTAACCCAAAGTTTTATCCGACAATGCCCTGCAGAAGGAGGTGATATGGTATTTGGGCAGATCACTGGTGCTGCTCCTGCTGCAGTTGTTTGGGATGTTGTATTTATGCCTACCGACAGGTCTGCCCGCAGCTCTGGCGATGAGCCATCCATCGCAGAGGTGATCGCTGGGCTATCTCGGCGATAATAGTTTGTCCAACCGCGTATAGGAAGGGATCATTGCTTAATATCCCACATTGACAATAGAATATCCTATGATTTAGACAAAAAAACATGACCCTGGTGATAGCTTTTACTATATATTCACAGCTTCACATGGCTTTGTTTCAATCCACATGTAAGCCTTTAATTATTTTAAACAACCTACTAACTTCTTGTCTCATGGTTTCTAAGTTCTCTCTGCTCACTCGTCCATTGCACAATTTCACATGCATGAGGTTCGTATAAGGTGAATAAAGTATTCCTCCCGAACAGCACATGGAAACTCAGAGATTTACTTACCCCAAAGATTTAGAAATACAAGAAATACGTCATGTTGATAACTGCTGACAGAAGACTTTCATGAGAAAACAAAATTGAAGACATTTTGATGACTCCATGTCAAAGATAACCTTGAACAAGGGATGCGAGAGAAACCAATATTGCGTCATCATTACAAAGAGAATATCACAAAAGTTTGCTTGTAAATAAGCCTATTGAAATGCGCACAATCAATGTGAATACGTCAGCAGTTGTTTGGATTGAAAGAACAATGGACCCACATTCATTGCTTAATACACTGAATATGAGTTACTCTTTAGAATGAAATATACTTCAAGATCACACAGGATATTACTTTTTAATGGAAATCTACCAAAGATGGGTATAACTTTTTTTATACGCACTGTATGATATGCCTCAATGAACCCCAATCAGAAATACATTGCATTTTCGATTTCGAAGTTTCATATCAAGAAACAACATTATGATTTCCTACAAAGTCGGATCCCCGTCGGGTCGTGCCTTGGATAGATCTTCAACATTTAGAATAAAGTTTTAAAAAACATATATGCTAAATGTTAACATAGTTCGTGAGGTTCGTATAAGGTGAATTAAGAATAGCAGTTCTGCTGAAGTGTTAAAAAACAATCTTAAGAAATATCTGTTTAATTTAGCTTATAATTGATTACCATAACCTTTCATGTCTGTACCTTTCCTATCGCACTTTGTATAAATGTATCATGTATGTATTTCATCTTTGCACAAGCTGCGCCTTGAGCATTTGACTATCAAGTGGATTTGGCGCCTTATAAATCATATGTATTATTATTATTATTATAGTGCAATAGTATATAAACTTAACCTAAACTTACTTTAACTTGCTTTTTATGTATCGTATTGTATTGTATTGTATTTATTTGCTGTTTATGTATTTTCAACCATCTTTTTTGAGAGTTATTTTGTAATTGTCCTTTATTTGTTTTCATTATTATAATCCAGCACGATGAATAAACATTTTGTGTAATTTATTTAGTCTGGTAATTACCTTGATATGTATGTTGGCCATTGTTATTCCCACCACGTTGTTTGTAGTAAACGTTCTTTGAATCTCTGTTATATAATATTTATATATATATACACACGCGTTAATTGTTTTATTTGATTTTAATAAACGTAGAAATAAAAATTGAAACTTTAAATGTTGACCATGAATGATTTTTAGTGCAGATGCAGGAGGAATTTTAAAGCACTCGAATGTATTTGGTAATTATCGACAAATTGCATTATGTACTGCAGGAAATGACCAAACCTGTTAAAGATTATTAATACTGAACTAGCACTAATCTTGTACATTTCAAATATAATTTTTGAAATATATGTAAATAGTATACCTGTGACTAAAAATGTATTGCATTCATAAACGTTTGAGTCCATTTCTACTTCGTCTTCTTCTCCTCCTCCTCCTTTTTCTCCTCCTTCTCATCCTCCTCCTCCTCCTCCTCCTCCTTCCAGGCGCGGATCCAGGGGGGGCGAGCGGGCCTTGGCCCCCCCCGCAAAAAAAAAAAAGAGAGAGAAGAAAGGAAAAGAAGGGAAAGGGAGGGAAAGAGGAGAGAAATGGAAAGAAAGAAGAGGAAGAAGAAAAAGAAAAGGGCGAAGAAAGAGATCGGGGGGGGGCGAAAGGGCCTTGCCTCCCAGGCTGTTGACCCCCTCCCCCAATAAAAAACAATAAGAGAGAAGGAAGAAAAGGGGAAGAAAAAAGGAAAAGAGGAGATACTGGCGTACTGATAGGGGAGGGGGGGGGGGGGCTTGGGGGAAATCAAATTCAAACGTGGTTTATTTCTAATTCCACAACGGTGGATAACAAATAATGCTGAAATGACATAATTTCCGAGATTTTTCCTCACTTTTTAGTAAATTATACGTTTGTATGTGTTTGTTGGAAAATGACAAATTCCTAAATTTACAGCCATGCAGGCAAGAAATATGATTCTTGAGATTCCTACATGTCAGGGCCCGAGGTACGGTGGGAATCGGGAGCCCCGAGCTCCCCCCACCCCCCAACTTTTTTGAAAAAGTATATTAAAGACAAATAAAATAGAACGAGAGCAAGAAAGAAAGAATAGTTAACTGCCAGTGTTAAAAAATATTCTCATCTGACCGTGATTAATGCCTAAAACCCCTAAGCTTCCGAGGGCTCTGCCCCCTGGATTCCACCTTAGATGCTCATCTGACGGTAATTTAATGCCTAAAACCCTTGATTTTTGGCGGCTCCGCCCCTGGACCCCATGCCAAATAGTGACCTGCCAGTGTCACAAAATAATAAGGTATACAAAAAAATGCTCATCTGACCTTAATTAAACGCCTAAAACCCCTGAGCTTCCGGGGCCGGCTCCGCCGCCTCGACCCCACCAGGGGCACTTAGACGGGCCCCTGAGTGCTTATCTGACCGTAATTTATTGCCTTAAACCCCTGAGCTTGCGGGGTTAGACAAGGTATCAAAATGTGTTTATCTGACCGCAGGCGCGTAGCCAGGGGGGGGGGGGGAAACTAAATCCAGACGAGGATTAACAGTCGAGAACTGTACAACGAATCGTCTTCTTTCTTTAATAATTTAATAAATCGTAAAATTTTCCGCGCTTGGCGCGGGAGGGGAAAAACTAAATTCAGACGAGGATTATTTTCGAGAACCGTACAACGAATCGTCTTCTTTCTCTAATGATTTAAGGAAATTTAAAAGCTTCCGCGCTTCGCGCGAGAGGGGGGGAACCTGAATCCAGACGAAGATTAAGAGTCGAGAACTGTACAACGAATGGTCTTCTTTCTTTAATAATTTAATAAATCGTAAACTTTTCCGCGCTTCGCGCGGGAGGGGAAAAACTAAATTCAGACGAGGATTATTTTCGAGAACCGTACAACGAATCGTCTTCTTTCTCTAATGATTTAAGGAAATTTAAAAGCTTCCGCGTTTCGCGCGGGAGGGGGGAACCTAAATTCAGACGAGGATTAAGAGTCGAGAACTCGACAACGAATCGTCTTCTTTCTCTATTAATTTTATGAAACGTCAAAGCTTCCGCGTTTCGCGGAGGAGGGAGGGGAAAAAAAATCGCCCCTCCCTGCATCGCCCCCCCCCCGCATTACGTCACTGTTGGTCACCATTACAAACCAATATTTGGCTCGCATAATTTCAAATTTGGGCCCCCCCTAAGAAATCCTGGATCCGCGCCTGCCTCCTTCTTCTCCTTCTTCTTCTTCTTGTTCATTTTAATTCGATTATCAACATTCAATAGACGATGACTCTCTTGTTGTAAATACATGTATGTATATAGGAGAAGCACTTCACTAAAACCACCAAGATAATCATGAAGGAATAGAGAGCACAATGAAGATTACAATGTACCAGCAGATTACTTCTTTTCAAGCTATGGCAATGTTGAGTGGTTATCTCACTAGGGTTGCGATCAGTGAGCGAAAGCGTTGAATAGGACATTTCAGACATTCGCCATAAAGTTTAGTTCTATATAAAGTTCTGTATATATTCTCCAAGTGTTCGCCATGTTCACCAAGCATTCGTCGACCTTCCGAGAAAATTGTGGTCATGTTAAGCCCCTGTCTCACTGGGCTGCGAATACACCATATTCAGCACTAAATGAGCTCTTAGAATACAACCACTGGATTTATTCCATATTCCTAACGGCTTCATGGCAATTTGGTTTTGTCTTTTATGATAATTCCTCAGCTTTAGCTGTTGGTATGCGGGTACATCTTTTGCTTTATCATAAATATTAATAAACGAAAAAAAAAGTATAATTCCATTCCGTTATTTTCTCAAATCCATATAAAAGATAATGAAAACAACAGGGTTCAGAGAAATTCGCCACTGATTAATGAAAGATTTTTCGAAATTAGTTTCTTTTTCATTCACCGGCCTGGATTAATTTTTAATTTACCATAAATACATTTCAAAATTTCCAATTTCAATTTACCATCGATGAATAACTTAATGCTTCTCATTTTCAATTCTAGGATGTTAATCGTGACAATTTGAATACCAGAAATGTCTCTTATGAATTTGACATAGCTTTATCAACAAAATACTTTCCACTTAGATCATCTTTTCATTTTACCGTGCTTAAGATGGTTCTATAAAGGTCTTCTCCAGACACTGTATTTCTGTCACTTGATGTACCATAGCCTCCAACTAAACAGCTTTACAGCACAGGTGTGAGGGTAAAAGGGAAAGATGAAGTCCTGCATTCTCTACTAGTTTACAAGACGTCTTTTTGCGATCTTCTTTCTGCTCATTTTTTCTCCTTCAACCAACCATTCTGTCGTAAGTAGCGACATTTGCCCTGAAGAATGCTACTGCACGTCTTCTTACATCAACTGCTACAACAGGTTGCTGACCACAGTACCGACTACCAATGTTTCGTATAATGCTAAAGAGTTTGTCTTAAGTGCTAATCATAAATTGCGCCACGCGGATTTGAGTGAAAATCACATTCGTATCTTACCGGACCTCGGTAACCTGACTTCGCTAGAAAAGCTGATCCTTACGGGGAATCCGATTCACTTGATCTTTTCGTCTAGCCCTCCCAGCAGTTTGTACTATTTAGATATAAAATACGCCGATCTTTCGTTTGTCCCGGTATCCTGGGTTGGCAACATCACTTATTTATTTCTTGACGGGAATAAATTCAAATCCATACACGATATTTTTCATAATAAAAGCAGCGACATACATACATTGTCGTTGGCAGAAAACCCTCTCCAAGATGTAAAAACCACTCCTCAATCGACAAATGCACAAGTGAGTGACATATTTACGATTAACCTGCGTACGATGCCTAATCTTCAAAAACTGATTCTGATTAATAACAAAATCAAGCAATTACAAATATTGCACAGCGATCTTCTACTCGACAGTATCTTGCTGTATCTTAATCAAAACTCAATTACAGATATGCCATTTCTTAGAATGTTCTCATGTTTAATTGGTCTGACACTCTCTCACAACGAAATCCAGACGATGGATTGGGGACCCTTTGAGCAACACAGTAGACCAGTATTCTTAGACCTGTCTAACAATCAACTTCCAATTCTAGAAAATTTCACGCAACTGCATGCCCTCTCAAACTTAGATGTATCTTACAATCGCATACGGATGGTCACGAGGGGAGCATTCAATGGTTCTTTTAACTTGGGGTTTTTGAAAATCCGCGGCAACTACCTTGCCAGGGTTCCTGACTTATTTCATTTGCCCAAACTTCTTCATCTGGATCTCAGTGAGAATTCCATGGATTGTATCCTTCAAGAAGATATAAGTAACCTGACTAGCGTATTGTATTTGAATGTTGCAAAAAATCACATCACCAATGTTTCGATTCCAATTTACAAACAATTCCATGATTTATATTTGCAAGATAATCTTCTAACAACATTGAATGAAATCGGAAATCCATTGAATTTGATCGTTGATGGTAACATGATTTCTAGTTTTCGCTTTAGAAATTGCGATGAGCAACCGTTCACTTCCAAAGCAAGACAATCCAACAAAAGCTCGACAGATTTGCGCCTTCCGATGACTACTCGGGTATTTCATTGTTCATACAACCGCATTTTATCTTTGGAAGAAAATTCGATGTTTATTAATAGGAGTAATGAACAATGTGACACTTCATGTTATCTTTATACGGTTGTCTTAGATTGGAATATGATAAGATATATTTCCCCCAACAGGCGCGTACGCAGGATTTTTTCAAGGGGGGGGTTTTAACATTTATAAATCAGGCCGAAAATTTCGCAACGACTCAGCCAGCCGCTGAATAAAGCGGGGGGGGGGGGGGGGGGGGGGGGGGGGGGGGGGGGGGGGGGGGGGGGGGGGGTAAGAGGTCACTTTTTTTTTTTTTTTTGGTCTCGGAATTTGACAATTTGACATTTTGCTCCGTTGGGGGGGGGTAAGGTCAGCTTTTTTAGGTCAACCATGGGATTTTTTTTTTTTTTTTTTTTTTTTAATAAAAAAAAAATATATAAAAAATATAAAAAATCCAAAAGGGGGGTGTTTTAGAGAAATTTAGGGGGGGTTTACACACAAAAAATTACCAAAGGGGGGGGTTTAACCCCCCAAACACCCCCCCTGTGTACGCGCCTGTCCCCCAATATGTTTAGTTCGTGCAGACTGAGTCATTTATCACTCAAAGGTAATCCAATTCACGTAATTCCCAGTGAGTATGTCACATTTTTAACTACTCTTTCTTTATCACACACGAATATACTAACTACATCACTTTTGTCTACGTTAAAAGGCACATCACATAGGCACCTATCCTTGAGCAACATCCCAATGTTTAGACATAACCCCCAAACCCTGAGTTTCGATCTTCCTGAGTTAAAGTTCATGTTGCTCCTCTCTAATAATGGTGTAGTCAACATTCCTAACATGACAGCCCCTCTCCTTTTAAGTCTCATTTTAAGTGAGAACAATATTGCGTTTCTACCCCAAGATGTGTTTCAAGGTATTCCGAGGGTCTATCATGTCGACCTGAGTAGCAATCGCATCAAAAGTATCTCTGCCCAGAGTTTTACTTTTTGTATCTTCATCAAAGAGCTCAATCTGGAAAACAACCAGATCCAACACATCAGTCAGTCAGCGTTCATCAATCAGGGTCATTTCATCCTTCGACTGGGAAACAACCATCTTGTATCGATTCTACCAAGTTCTCTACCGTTGCTCTCTCGGACTGTCTATCTTGATCCGAACCCATGGCACTGTGACTGTGAATCAGTGAGTGAGCAGAAGAGAGTAGAACAGTGGGAGGAGAAAAGACAACAACAACAACAACAAAGACAACAGCTAGCTACGGCTCCAACAGCACAGCCACAAATGACTTTTATCTGCAGCAACTGCAACAGGACCTGTCTCTCTAGGATTGGACTGTTCAGTCACAGCAGGAGCTGCACACCAAAAAACTGACCAGTATATAGCGCAATATTCTATTGTCTTTCGAGACAGACAGATGCCGAAGAGTGACTGTGAATCAACAGCGCTTAGAAGATGGCTCTTGCTATCGGGCGTCCAGCTGTACCAGTGTATGAAGCCATCGAATTTCAGGAACAGAAGTCTCATAAGTCTGAGAGAGTCAGAGCTGTGTCCTGGTGAGTTAGGTGACTTTGAACCATCATGGGATATTCCAATCAACGAAACAAACAATGCTTCTAACAGTAGGAGTAATGAAGGAACGGCTGTGTTTTTGAATGAAATATCCTATATTTTACCAATTCTTGTCTCTTTCCGAGGAATATGTTGTTTTTATCTGTTAAATGCAATTTAGGAATCGGTGTTTCATATATTTACTTTTTACAGAATATTTGTTTGGCTTCTTCTAAGACTTACATCTAAATGTCAAAACATAATTTTGACACAAACGAAAGCCTATATTCTTGATGTAAACTTGAATCCATCTTCTTATAATGCTTTCATGAAGGAGGGAAGACTGATGTAAAATTAAACTAGAGTCGTATACTGCCATTAAAGAGTTTTCTCCCAAAATAGAGAAATCCAGCATAGGCCTCCCTACTATAGATGTTCACATTTTGTCCTCATTTTGAAATAACAAAGAAGTACGAATGTGTACTTTCCTTTTACAAAGCTATTTATTTTGATTGATGAATATTTCTTCTTATACTGTATAGCCGTGTGTTCGTAAGTTTTTCTTTGATGACATTATTGCAAATTGAGGAGGATTCAAATAGGGATTAAGGAATCAGCTAAGAGATCAAGATCTAAAGACTTAGTTCGAGAGATATTTCAGTGAATACTTTGCTCGTAAGTACTTTCAAACTATTTTGCTTTCCCAAGATTAACTACCCTCACCCTTTCCTACTTTGTCAGTTAAGGAATTCAGGTTATCACAATCATTTTGAACTCAAAATGTTATAGGACAAAGCCCTGCAGAAGAAGGTGAAAATGGTATTCGGACAGATCACTGGTGCTGCTACTGCCGCAGTTACGACGATGGTGTATTTTTTGAGCAAATGGGTACCGACAGCTCAGGCGTTGATACATCGCAGAGGTGATTGCGGGGCGATGGTAGAATATATATATATATATATATCATAGCTTGACATGACCATGTTTCAATCCACATGAAAGCTTTTAAATATTTTAAACAACCAACAAACTTCTTGTTTCACGACATCTAAGTCCTCTCTGCTCACTAAGTCCAATGTACCATTTTCAATAATTTATTGCATTTTACCCCGGTCCCCAACATCAAGAAATCCTCTGGACGGCCATGCATTATGGCTCAAGGCATGGGCACACAGAGGATTTTTTAATTTTGGGAACCGGGGTAAAATGCAATAAATTATTGAAAATTTAATGCATTTTCTTTGTCTTTTTTATTTATGGAAACTGCCCCCTACCCTAGCCCCCGCTGCGTACAGTAGTGGTTCAGTGACAAAGCAATGGCATCGTAACTGTGAAGCCCAAGGATCAAAACCGTGTCGATGTGCTATATTAGTGCCCTTTTGTGGGGCATTACACCTCATTACAGTCATTTATGACTTAAGGGCATAGGTCCCCTAGTTGATAAGCATAGTAGCATACACATGCTTTAGCAGTCACGCAAAACACACATTGTCAAATTATTATTCAATAAAATCTGAGAATGTATACTATTATTTAGATCTATTATTTTTAAATTGTTTTTAAAATAATTCCATAAATTGGGGTAAAACAAAAATATTCCAACTATATGAGCGACAGTGTACATTATAGATTAACATGATTTACAAACAAAGTTAAATTAAACATACACATATATATAAACAAATAGGTTAGAAGGCGAGAAATCCAAACAAGCCCTAATTTAGAAAAAGAATACGAACGGAAAAAATATATATATAATAGAATATATTTTTGTTTTAAATAGAAGAAAAACAAATCGTTAAACGATAGGGGATGGAGCAACGTCGATCTGGCGCTGCCCAGTGGCTGCCGGGCTCACGATCAATTGGGCATAAGAATTTCCATTTTCGGTTTCACTTAATAAAATTTGGAGTGGAATTTAAAATATTATTATTATTCTTATATTGTGATTGAAAAAAAAAATGTAAATATTGATTTACATGAGGTTCATGGGACTGACATATCGTTGATTAACGGGGAATTCATGATGTATTTAGGAATATAGTTTTGTATTGATCTAGAAAAAATTCCCGGTTTCAACTACGACAGAATATTTGATAAGCTAAAAAGACAAATGATACCTTGGTCAAACCGTAACATTTCTGTTTTGGGTCGCATGGTCCTAGTAAAATCAATGCTTGTTTCGCAACTTAACCATTTTTGTATGTCCAATCCTACCTCTTCTGAACATCTTTTCAAAGCAATAAACGTATCTTTCTTTAATTCATTTGGAAAGGGAAACCTGATAAAATTAGCAAAAAAAGATGGTTTGTACTGACGAAAATGGTTGATGTTGAACATTTTTCTAGAACTTTGAAACTGACCTGGATTAGGAAAATATTGTTGAATTCATGTGAAGACGTTACCCATTTAATGTACGCTTTCTTACGACCATTATCATAATTGAAATGGGGTTAAGGTGATATATATTTCACTAAATTATCATTAATGCTAAAACTAATGTTAGAAAGAATTTTTTCCAAATACTAGTTTATTTTGTCCGCTATGTTCAGTGTACTACTCCTTTATGGCAAGCTATTTCTATTTGGTATTATTCTGAGGTGAAAATTGGAGGAATGGGTAAATTTTTAAAAGAACGTTGGAATAAAGGAAGTCAATTTATAAACGATTTATTAGATGATCAAGGATATATTTCAGTAAAAGAAGATTGTTTAGAAAGTTTTCAGTCAAAATACGGTTTCTTCATTATTACGCACTTTGTCAAATCATTACATGCAAATACAAGTCCCGATTGGAAAGTTGTAATATAAGAGTAAATAGACCGTTATGCTCTGCATATATTTCATGATTGTTGAAAGATACACAAGGATGTAGACATAATCAAATCATTTTAAAATAAAAGGACGCTCATTTGAATATATTAAGTAATAGATGGCATGCAGATGGTTTATTATTTGATGATACATATATGCAATATTATTTCAGGGTTATGTTTCGCTGTACAATGCATACAATAGTTCGGTACTTTCAGTACAGACTTTTAAATAGGATACTATATTTGAATAAATATCTTGTGAAAATAAGAATAAATCTTAAAAAGAACTGTTCCCTTTGTGGAAGAGAAGAAGAAATGGGTGCACTTTTTTAAAACACCTGTAACGTGACCAAATTTATTTGGAGTCGTTTGACTGACAGGTTAAACATTGTACACGCTGTAGAATAAAACTGTCTTTAATATGATGCTTTAAACTGGATAATAATTTGGACTGAACAACAATTATATTTTATCGAATACAAAAATCTATACCGTCATTTCAGACAATGAAACGGTATATGAGGAATAGTTACACAAATAAAAGGCAGGTTAGCATACTTGCTAACAAAACTGATACATTTTGAGAGGATTTTGATCGTTTAGTATTATATGTTCTGTTTACAGTATTATTATTAACATATTATTATTATCAATATGCTACGCTTTCAGTAATCGCTTATTACTGTTGATATTCATTATGTATATCTTATTCTGAAGTATTATGACATTCATTTGTACATGTATTCAAATATATTATTCAGAGATTGATTAATGAAATGGTCCAAAAAATGGAGAACAAAAATTAACGACTCCGTGACAAGAATATCCTTGAACAAGGGATGCGAGAGAACCCAAGATTTCGTCATCACTACAAAGATAATATCATAAAGTTTGCTTGTGAATAAGCCAATTCAAATGCGCAAAATCAATGTGAATACGTCAGCAATTGTTTTGGACTGACATCTCACCATACAGACATTGATTCATTGCCTCAGCCCAATATTGACACAAGAGGATTTGAACAACAGTTTTCTTAAAGGCTGCTGCTCATTCATCAGGGGCAGCAGAGTTATGAATAAGGTATCACCGGGCAGAATATTCATTACTCTTTGAAATAAGATATAATTCAAGGTCACACGGGATTTCAATTTTTGATGGGAATCTTCCAAACATGGGTATAATTTTGTGTATACGCCCTGTATATGTCTCAATAAACCCCAATCAGAAATATATAGCATGTGTCATATTTCGAAAATCAGTCGCACGACATGTAATCAAACTCCGGGCGAATTTTGGCCCAAATTCCGCAGGGAGCTTGTGTGATATACGCAAATGACGTCGCCAAAAATTCGTCACAATTTTCTTTGAATCGCTGAATCGCCACAATCGCCAGATGTTCGTCGCTTTGTGAGATACTACCCTTACTTATTGGCAATTACACAGAAAACAGAAAAATGGAGGTTATTGATGTTTAAACACCTTTGCCCATTTCAAGTACGCAATGCTATAATGACTAATGAGTAGTAAAGACATTACCGTTTTATTGTTTTCGACTGATATGAATATATGTCTATGATTATAATGATGCTTCATTTAAAATTGATATTTTTTTATCGTTTGTTTGCTTTGAAGGAGAATAAAAGATGAGCATGCCACTACACATTTCACTATATAATCGTGCTTATTCTATTGTTACGTTGCAGTGGCGGATTCAAATGGGGGCCGAATCGGCTACAGCCCTCTCTTTGGCATCTAAAGAAACAAAAAAGGAGGGAAGAGAAAGAGAAGAAGATAGGAAAAGGAGAAACAGAGAGAGAGAGAGAGAGGAAAAAAAAGATTTAAAAACCCCACCGCAAGCCATGCGTAATATGTGCATAAAATCAATGGCGGGTCGGAGGGGGAGGAGGGGGGGGGGGGGGGGGAGCGAAACGGCAGCGGACCTCCCCTTTTTGGCGGCCTAAAAAGGGATAAGATATCTTTTTGTTAAGCGACTGAAGAAAAAGAAGAA